GATATTACTACCGATCCATCTTTTTACTGCAATGAGGGGGTACTGCCTCGGACTGCTGTTCCCCAGTGTTATAGTGGAACACACCTATTCTATAGTTAATAGACTCTCGCACCTAAAATAAGTAGGCGTAGTAAGAGTAACGAGGGAGTCGCTCAGTGGGTCGGTCAGTCAGTCGTTGCCGGACGACCGTTAGTCGGATACTAAAGTATCAGCGACCACAACTAGATTTACTCTGCGTTATATCTATTATATGAAGTTCCTAACGTTTTCTACGTCGAACCTATTTTAGGACCGACTTAGTACAAATACAAGCCTCCACTGTGAAACACCCAGGACCGGGTACCTCTCAATATTTTCTCAGTTGCACTGTCTGCAGACAGAGAGATAACTGAGTTGCACCTTGCCCGAAGATAGAGGCGCAACTGAGAGATGATAACAGCGAACTGGACAGCGGACTACCAGACACTGATAAAACCCAGGATAATAACAGTTCTAATTAAACATTAAAACAAGTATAATCCAGATCTAAAGCGTACAACTTTATTTATAATTTTAAATGTGTTTGCTCAGGCCCAAAAGGCTTATACAATGTTCAAGATTTAATTAAATGAATTTTTTTCCTAGATCTCCAATTAGTGGTTAACTGGGGTAGTAAATGACTTGTAAATTTTAATGCCACCAAACTTAAACTGTTCTCATTTAACCACCATAGAGAAACTTCCCTACACCCCAACAGCATGGTTGATGTTTGACTCTGTGAGAATGTCTCATTGCGTCTTCTTGCTCTCGCGTTTTCCAATGATTTGAGGTGGAACAACTACATTGTATCAACAGCTGCATCTACTGCAAGGAAAGTTGGTTCACTGTGCCGTGCCAGAAGGTTTATCGCGTCAGATTCCATCTTACACATCTACAAATCTACCATTCTTCCATGCACTGAATATTGTTGCCATATCCGGTCTGGTGCCCTCCAGTTTATCTCGAGGTTCTCGACAAAATCCAAAGAAGGATCTGCAATGTAATCGGTCCTGACTAGGCATCTCTACTTCAGTCACTCTCTCATACACATGATGTTGCTTTCTTCTGTCTTTTCTACGAATATCTTCATGGCAACTGTTCTGATGAGCTGTCTTCCCTGATGCCCTAAGCGTGCTACTAGATTGGCATTTACGTCCCACCTTTTAAATGTTAAAATAGTTAAATGCAACCGCCAATTCTACTCCAGCAGTTTCTTTCCTCGCACTTCCCGACAGTGGAACTCCCTTCCTCTTACTTGCTTCCTTGATAACTACAATCTTTAAACATTTGAGTGCAACGTCAATCGCCATCTTCTCTCACCTTGTTCCCCGTTCTTCTTTTGTTTTTTCCTCACTCCCCTCTATACAGAGTATTTTCCCTCATTTTCACTCTCTTTAACCCCCTACGTGCTAGGGACACTCTCGCCTTTTCTTGGGATGAAATGCTTAAAAAGTGCTTAGACCGTGCAATTGAAATTCGCATTTTTTTTCCTTAGGTGTGTCGTTCTAGGGTGTACGGGTGGTTTAAATGGCTCGCCTATGAGAAAATAGAGAGTCGACTTCGAGTTCCAGTCGATTCTGTTCATCGTCCATAGGTGATACCCCAATGGGCGTATGGTTCGAAATCAGGGACGCGACGTGCCACGCCCCAGTCTTGTGGTTGTTCGAACCATTGTACTAAGCCCGAGAAGTCCATTATTTACTGTCGCGGTCCGAAGTAGAAGGCCGGTTTCTTTATCCGACACGTATTAGGTGGATTTATTTTTGAAGTTACCTTCTTCCAGCACTTGACTAAAAAGGAAAGACCTACAAGGCAGCAGGAGGTTTTAATTCTGAGTTTTCCTTTTCCTATACTGGTTGCCAACCAAGGCTATACGACCCAGGCTGTTTTGCTATTTGCCCATGCCCGAGCGGAAGAGATGCACTCATTGAGGCTCTTGAAGACAAGCACACCTCGAGGGCCATAGCATTTGTAAACATCTATGGCGATGATACGACGATATATGGCTCCACCTCTAGAACACTTGACGATCAGAGATTGGCAGCTGACCTCTTTTACGATTTCGCACTAAAAGCTCGTTAGTTATATTCAATGCCTTGAAAACCAAACTAGTTACATTCCATCACTGCCGTTTTACAGAACTACCGACAATCAAGATGAAGAGACATCTCCTCGAACAGGCACTATGCCTGGAGAGAATTTTGGACCTCATACTGACATCTGAACTCAAAGTGAAACTCGTACATACGATCCATCACAAAAGATGCAGGTAAAATGGTCAGCTCCCTGTAACGCTACTCGTGATATCCTCTACCTGTATAAGAGCCAAATCAGGCCGAAAATGGGGTGCTGTTGTCGTATTTGAGAGGGAGCTGCCCAGTCCTCACTTTCCAATCTTGACAGAGTTCAAAAGCATTTCCAAGCACTTTTGGAGTGAAGAAATATTCCCACCTTCCAGGTGGGATATGATGAGCCTCACATT